GACTAAGATTTCTTAATTTGTCATCACTACTTTTTTCCTCACAGAACTAAAAGGGAACTCCTGGATCATAAAATCCATGTGTATCCACATCATATAATTGTCTTGATCACCTAGCCAGAAGCAGTATTAAAGCCACTATTTCTATTAGGAAGTAATCCAGAGACTTATTATTTGGAGGGCTAGAAATTGTAATTTAAATTAATTTGAGGTATAAGAATTACATCTATGTATTGAAATTACCTTCTTACCATACAAATTTGTCACTAATTATACAAGGTTTGCAGAAAAAACTGACAGCCTTAGCAATCAATAACTCAAAGCTACTTTATAAGGGAAAGTACGTGATAAATTCAAGTTACCTTTTCAAGGAACTCTAGTTAATGTTTATGTACAAAATGTTGTGCATTTTATTAACATGCTCATTACATTCAATAGGTAATAAAATATGTAGTGCTCTATGAATTGCACAAAAGAAAATTGCCAGGCTATAATTTTTTCATGTTCTGTCATTTCATCACGGATAATGTTAAAAAAGTACCCTTTTCAGGGACACTATAACTATACTTCTAATACTGTCTTTAACCAGTACCTAGATACCAATGTTTTACAATTGAGAAAATTATATCCAAGTTAGAAGTCAGTGCCAATTCCACCAACAAGACATTCTCATGTAAATATTCTAAACCTGTGTATTTAGGCTTGTGAGCACTTCAGTGTTCTGTACTGTAATACTTTTTTCCGTCAAGTATCCTGTTGTTTTTTCGCCACAGTCACATCTTCCTTAGGTAAACGAGTGTTTATGTTTTATTCAAACAGCTGTTACACTGAGGTAGAACTACCTCTGTTGCCACCTCTACAGTCAGATCTTAAATACATTAGCTGTCACACTGTAACAATTCCCTTGTTTTTCCTGCTTGTGCACAACCAGACTGTCTGCTTGTGTTGCTGAAGACCACTTAACCTGTGATTTAGTAGGAACAGATAGGCATGTGAGCCTTGTGCTTTAAGTCATGTGAATGTAGTTAGTCCAGTACCAAGGCTCAGTTAATTAATCCTGCCTCCCAGTGGGGCACGGTAGCTCAAGCTCAGCAGTTGCTGATTCAGATTTGGCATTTTACTATATGTATATTCACTTCTTTTCCGAAGGGCTTGAAGGCAAAAGAACACATAACCCTGCTGCTGAGGAAGTATTGTCTTTATTTAATTATAGGGATTTTTCAAATAGAAGTGGGTTTTTTTTTTCTTAAATTAATTACTTCAGTGAAATTAATCTGAAGTAAGATTGTACTTCTTTTATGTAGTTGTCATTCAGAACTTTGTACGACTTGGCCTTTAGGCACTTAAACACAGTTTTAGCTAAAAAAGGACTTTAGAGAAGTCTTCTGTTTTAATTATCTTTGAAAGCTACAGCATTTGGTTGTGACTATGCACTGACATTTAGAGGGTTATATAAGAGCTACCTTTAGGTGTAAATATGAGAATACAGTTGAATATTTTGTGGTTTTTTTTCATTCAGGAAGAGACAACTATTAGAATTTTATAACAGGGTTGTTATCTGATGATAAATGCTGGTTACATTTTCTTGGTTTTTTGATCACCAGTGCAATCTCAGGAGGTGTTCAGCATATGCTCAATATACATAAAAAGAATGTCTTCCTGTAATGGGAATGTGAATAGTGGCTGTATTCAGTCTAGCTCCATTTTACTGTTACAAGTATTTGGTAAAAATTGCATGGATACATGAGTAATAGTATAGTAGTATGATGTGTATGCCCTTTTACTATGTAATACTATGTTGATTCTGGTTTCTGTAATACTAATTTGAAAGGGAGGAGAGAAACTGAATGAAAAATTACTTTTAAAAAACACTGTATGCTGAGGTTCACTAAGCCAGTAACTCTGATGATGCCCAGAGCTACAGGAACATGTAGTGCACTTACATAAAGTATTGTCCCTGCTTCCAGTGATTTGTGTCAGTTTGTTCCAGTCACGGCCAAAGTATCATAGTACTTACTAGCCCTGACTGACTTTTTCTTCAATAATTTTTTCCAATCACTTCTTGAATGTATGTGGCCTTTTAGCAGTACACACGCCTGTGACAGGATATCTGTACTTAGTGGAATATGGCATTATATACTCTTTTTTGTTTGTTTTAACCTGTCATCTCCTAGATGTTTTGTAGCTCAAAGGTGATGAGTGATCATTTGGTATTTACTTTCTCCATTATACTTTTGAATGTAGGGGTGGCATGGATGAGGTTCAGTTTGAGATACTTCAATTTACTTCATGTGTACTGGATGTCCAAGCTGGAATGTAATCCATAGAGCCTAGAGAGTGATTTAGTAGACAAACCATTAGGGATCAAACTCAGCTTTATGAACTATCTAAAATTAATGTCATCTGACATTTGAGCATAATTTGCCTAGTTCCAGAAGACCATCATTACCTTGCAAAGCCTGTGGGCATACTTGTCGACTCCCCGTGGATGTTGCAGGTGCCTATGGCATCTTAAATGGCACCAGATCTCTGAGATTAGGCAAGTGAGTTGAGACCTCAGTGTCACTTTAGTGAGCTAAATGGCTCTGGTTTTTGTCACCTTTACTGACTGGATTTTTGTTGAGGGACTGTAATGGGAGTTTACAGAAATGGCACACCAGTGAACACCTGAATCCCAGTATTTTAATCTCTTACAAAGTTATCTCATGTTTCCTTCTTATTTGTGTCTCTTTCAGAGTTGAAAGTCATCCTTTATTGTGTTACTACTTGGATGGAAGCTTTATCATGATTGGTTATTCATGTTGCTTTTCCATATACCTTTTTTCAGTTCACCCTGCTTAAGGGAGGGGAATCATAACTGCATGCTGTATACAGGGTTTGGTTAAATCTTACAGTTATGGTTGTGATACAGAGAGTTTTTCTTTTCATCTGCATTTGTTGCTTAGGACTCACATTATCTAGTTGTCTGACTGCTGTCTTCATAATATATTTTATAGCTCCACGATTTCTTTCCAGACCAATTTCAGATTCTGTCCGTGCAAGTAGAAAATTTAGATTTGGTCCTTTAAAGTAATTAGAGTACATTATCTCATCTTTGTTTACACTGAACTTTATCTGTCTTTTTACCACGGTTTTTGAGGTTCTTCTGCAACTCCTATAATCAACTATCACTTTTGATACTAATTTATTATTCAAAATTTTAATGGATTTATCCAGTAGGATAGCTTCTAGTACAACACTCTAGAGACTCTTAATTATCTCTATTCTGAAAACTGACTTTTCTTTCTGAGTAGAAAATATATTTAGTCATAACAAGTAAAAATATGAACTGCATATTGTTAGGATGAGAAAATTGTAAAGCAAGTAATATCTCTGCAGCTTCTAGAATACTGTGCTTTTCTTTTTTAAAAGTATATATATAGTAAACTGGGAACAAAACACAACTCTTTTGTCAACATAGTAGGTGCAAAGTAGATGCATGTGAAATTTTCACATGTATTCCCACTGTTGAATTTGCTTACAGCAGAAAATAAATAAAATTTTGTTGCCTGCAGTAGTAGAAACTAGTATTATTAATTCATGGGTACCTGAGGGGCTTGATGTCTTCTTTTCTTAATTAGCAATGTATGTAGGACATACAAATAAATCTTTTAAATTTTAAAAATTCCTCTATCACAATTTCACCTGAAAACTACAGGAGAGTAAGGATTGGATCCAAATGCTTTATTTTAGAATAGGATGAAACAGGCTTCATTTTATCTGTACTTATCAGAAATCTATGTCGAAGGCAAAACTTGTAATCAACATTGTGTTTTAAATAAGTTATAATATTTGTCTCCACAAAAAAGATGTATTTGGTTGTGCAAAATCTCTTTCACCCTGGGCTGTAGCTAAATGAATTATTTTACAGTTTATATTTGCAAGATTTCAAAATTCTACTGTATTAAAAAAAAAAAAAGTCCAGGTAGTGCTCACTGTATAAATGTTTGTTTACTGCATTTTAAAATTGGACAATGTTACTTTATCATCAGCTGTAACTGGATTTTAAAAGATATTTTTGAAGGATAAGGTTACAGATAAATACCCAGAATCATAATTTTAAAGAAAACAATCCTTTGAAAGCACTGAACATATGTCTGCAATTTTAGACTCCTTAAAGACCTTTGAAAATCTGGGATGTGATAAAACATTTTTTTTAAATTGACTATTAATTGTTTGATCTGGTTAATGTGATGTATTAGTTCATATTTTTGAAGCGTATTAGAGATAAAACTTCTGGGATATAAACCTACCAAGCTCTCCTGTAAGTTTTAGACATGTAACAAAAATCAGACAGCTAAATTATCTGTGAATTACATGGACACATGGCCTTTTTTATTGCTTCTGTTGACACAGAATTGTTGACTTAACTTCTGTACTAAAAATTCACCTGGACTACAATGGCCTTAGAACAGACAGGGCATAGATATAAATGTGGGTTGTTTCAAAGAAATCTTGTTTCTTGTATGTTACGTATCTAAAACAGCCTCATAAAATGGAATTGAACTCTGTAAAAGCCTAAGATTTGTGTGGATATTTGAGATCTTAAGGAGTTATAAGAGCATTTCACTGAGACAGAGATTATAAAAGATGAACAGGAGTGACTGTGAAATTAAAAAAAAACAAAGGCCTTTCTACTTGTTTATGTATGTGTGTTAATTTACATTGATTTATCAAAGAATAAGCATAATTCCTTTGAAGTGTTTTCATCTAGTTATCAGTTTTTTAATAAGCAGAAATTTCACCTAATTTAACTTCCGCTGAAAAATAGTCCTCTGTGACAGTATTTGAATACAGCTTAGCCTGATAAATACCTTAAGGATGAATTTGATTCACCTCAGGGAAAAGAAATAAATAAAAATGTATTTCACAAAAATGTCATGCTGGCTGAAAAGAGCTTGTTTCTCCAAAATCCTGCCATTTTCTAGGTACTGTAATTTCCTATTATTTTCCTTGTTCTGTAGGTGATACATGCCCTGAACACCAAGAATGATGAACATGAGGCTAGTATACAGGCTCTGAGAGAGGCTCATGAAGAAGAAATTCAGCAGATTCTTGCTGAGACAAGGGAAACAATTCTCCAGTGTAAAAGCAAAGTTGAAGAAGAGCAATTGCTGAGAAAACGTATTCAGGTCCTTGAATTTGCAGTAGAACAACACAAGAGACTACAAGAAGAAGCCTTGGCAGAGTTAACATTGTGCAAGAAGCAGGTGGAAGAGAGAGAGCCAAGAACAGAAGTGAAACAAGCACAGACGGTTCTTTCTACAGACATGGTAGATACCAATGCAGACTTTGAAAACAAGCTTCTACATTTAAATCAGCAGTCCAATGGACTGCTAAATGAATGCAAAGCATCTAGAAGAGAACATTTAGATAAAAAAGATGCAAAATACAGCTTGGAAGGGCAAGCTTTAATAAATGAAATAGAAAACCTAAAGAGTGAGAACCAGAGAGCAGCTGAAATATATACTCACAAAACAAGCGAACTACAAACCTCTTACGAGAGAGGAAAAGAGACTTTGAAAAAGGCTATGCAGCAATCTGTGATAGAAACCAAGACGAATTGTCAGGAAAGAGAAACGGAGGAAAGGAAGAGTTCAAAAGCTGAGGAAAGTTTTTTGCTGCAGCAGGTAAAGAAACTGGAGGCAGACTTAGAGGAGAAAAGCCAGAAGATAAATGAGAGGAAGAAGCATTCCCAGAAGCTGAAGGAGAGAATACAGGTAGAGTATGAGACTATGATCCCTGTCTGTGCCTATAAAAGGATAAATTATAAATTATTCAAAATTCAGCAGAGGAAGGCTTTTTTACATATTCAGATATTTAGATATTAGTCATATGCTTTTTAAGCACTAAAGCAGTTTTAGAGGCTTAGAAGAGAAATAGGAGATACAGTGCTGAGAGTTTTAAAGAGTTAAGATTATTAGTAACTCATTAGGAGAACTCTTTGAACTCTAGACTTTGTATTCCCTGGAGGATGAGTGAGGTAAAATTTGTCTGTTAACTGACCAGAGCTTTACCTTTCCTCCCTAGAAATGTGAAGAGAACAGCAAGCAGGCATTAATGCTTGAGTATTTACAAAGTACATTCTCCTTTTCCCTTGCAGTTGCCAACAGCTCAGTGCATGGATAGGAAAAAGGTTAGAAAAGAGACCTGAGCTGGCATATTAGGAATCAAGTGCTTTGTGTTATGTAAGTCTTCCAACCAGGGCTTGTACCAAGTGACATTTGATGAAATATCCTTTACACCTGTGTTTTGTGTGCTGAGCCATGAGACTTTCACCAGTAGTTCTCACCTTACTTGTCTAACCTAGCTGGTGTATATCTCATACATTTGCAGCACAGCTCTGTAGCCTCTTTCTGCTACATTGTCCTTTCCATCACATAAAGTCACCTACCAGACCTGTCCCCAGCCCCATGACAGCTATCTTATGTATTAGATAAGAAAACACCTTGAAGGTCATGGAATTGTTAGAGTTGGAAGGTACCTCTAGACATCATCCAGTCCAGCTCCCCTGCTAAAGCAGGATCCCCTGGAGCACATTACTCCGGACTGCATCCAGGCAGGTCTTGAATATCTCCAGAGAAGGGGACTCCTCACCCTCCCTGGGCAGCCTGTTCCAGTGCTCTCTCACCCGCACAAAGAAGTAAATAAGTTTTTCTTCATGTTTAAATGAAACTTCCTATGTTCTAGTCTTAGAAATTTCAGAATAACAATTGTTTCCTGATGGGAAAGATTTATCTCCTTTAGAGTCAGAAAACCCCAGAACCCTGTAGAGAGCAGGTCATTGCGTTCAGCTGTTTTCCTCCAAGAAGAACATCTGCCCTCACATCTTGCCTATCAGTACCATTTTGCTGATGGTGCAGCATTCTGGGTCTCTGCTTTGAGGATGTTCTTTGGGGGAGTTCAGCCTTCAATGCATCACTGCCTTTTTGTTTCACAAGATCAGAGGGTGAATTGAATACACTTTCCCCAACATTATTCAGATTTCATTCTCTCAGTATGTAGGTATGTGGCAGAACAACCTCTAACTTCTGCAGTAAAGTAGAGAAGATATAATGAATGGCAAAGCTAAGCTATTTCTTTTACATTGAGTCAGGGAAATCTGTAATATCTGTTTCAATAAGAAAACATGTCCTGGCTCTGTAGAAGTTGGAAGCTATAGAGGGGAAGAAGGAAAATTAAGATCCTAATTTCTTGTGGGTACTTGAAGTAACATTCAGGAGGAATGAAAAATGGAGACATGAAAATTTATGCATATGGTTTACTGTTCTGAATGTGTAAGAAATTAAGTACTTTAGAAATAAATAATATATAACACTATAGGAACTAGAAATAAAGTGGTAGTGTCACTAGCAATTAAATTTCTAAATTTAGTATCATCTACATAAAACAAATACTTTCTGAGGGACATATGTTCAACTTGTACATTTCAGATCCTCTAAGTCTATAGAATGAGGCTGATTTACACACCACTGGAGCATATTACCTTGAATCTTTAAAAAGATTGCATCAGACTAGGATAAATCTGGAAGAAGGAAAACAGTTAGGCACAATGTTAATTTGTTCCTCTCCAGTTCAAATTTAAACATAGAAGTTTCTCCTTTCTAAATTGGCTATTTCTTATGCCACCGTTTTTTTGAGAAAGCTGTGGAAAATGGCAGGCTGCAAAATAGAAACATTTATTTAGTCAGCAGTACCTCTGATCATTGGTAAAAACTAGTAAGGAAATCTTTTGTAAGTCTTGAAAGATAAAAGGACTGATGTTTAAACAAGGTGACTTTTCTGTTTCCTCCTTACTGTATGCCAAGAGGTTTGAGATCTTTAGATTAAAGGCATCACATTAGTGCACATTTATTAATATTGCTGTGGAAGAGAGAACACGAAGGATGACAAGTGATTAGGTCTGACCTGTTTAGTCTAGTTTTGGAATAATTTTGTCATATGCCAGAGCTAGAAGGAATAAGCTTACCTTTAAGTTTTCAATTGCAGAGAGTGTTAAATACAAATTAGGTTTAATCCATGAAGTTTTACTCAAGATTCATAATGAACAAATGGCAACTCTCTCAACCTGTCTTCCTAGCAGAGGTGCTCCAGGCCTTTGATCATCTTGATGGCCCATCTCTGGATCATCCAGAGATGGTCTCTGGACCCTCTCCAACAGGTCTTGTCCAAACAATTTTTCTTGTGCTGAGGGCCCCAGAACTGTACGCAGTATTCCAGGTGGGGTCTGACCAGAGCAGAGTAGAGGGGAAGAATCACCTTCCTGGCCCTGCTGGCCACACTTCTTTTGATGCAGCCCAGGATGCAGTTGGCTCTCTGGGTTGTGAGTGCACACAATATATGGCACACATGGTATGCCAAAAGTGCTGAAATCAGTGTAATTTTTCTTTTAAGATTAATGGCTCTTGGGTTGTTCTACAGCAGTCAATCCTGTAAGATTCCCAGATCTCTGACCTCATCCTGTGGAACACTGACTAATGTTCATAACCTGAAGTACATGAGTTGCTGCAATGACAGCAAAGAAACTATTGGCATCCTTGAGCTACATCAGAGCAGAGTATTCAACCACTTCTGTAACCAAAATGAGAACAAGGTCCAAGGCAGATTTCTCTGTTGAGGTCAAATTGGAATACTGTTTGTTTGGGTTTTGTTTTGGTTGTTTTTATTTAATCTATTAAAAAAAATACAAAACCAAACAAACAAAAAACAAAACAACAAAAAAAGCCACCACAAAAAAACCCAAACTGAACCAAAAACCACAAAAAAAACCCCACAAAAAACCCCCCACCAAAATGAAAAAAGTTATGCAGAAATAATACCAGGAATATACTCAGTACAGTGAGGAATGTATGCATCCTGTCAGTTCCTCTGCACAATGTCTCCACTTAAACAATTGTCCAGCCCTGAATCTTTTTTGTTTTTAGTTCTCCTAAAATACTGTTACACTAACATTCTGGAAAATCAGACCTGGCATCAGACACATAACAAAAGCCCATTGTCCTATGTACTTTTTCACAGAACTAAGTTTGTCTTTGAGGAAGCCAGCATGGCTGGAAGTGAGTCACACACCCAAGCTCAAACTAGAACAGCAAAAAGTCCCCATCCCTCGACCTCAGAAGAGGCATGCAACCCTGAACTACAGTTCTACATTATTCATTAAAACAAAGTCAGTATTTTTCAATGGAATATATCCGCCTAAATAGTATATTCACTATGCAATAGACTACTGTGACCCCAGAATTCTGTCTTGGTTTTGTCCCATTATATAGCTAATGTGTTTTATAGAATATGGAAACTAGCTATTTAAAAGAGGATATGAATAAAAGACCTAGGGGACTTGCTTTGTAAAGGCAAGCATCAGACCCATAAGGAAAAGATATGTCTGAAGGAGTAGCTGTTAAATGGGCTGGAAGATCTTCTAATGAAGCATACAAAGAAAATCAAGCCAGTCTAAAACTTCATGGAAGTGGAAAGAAAAAATAGAGAAGGTAGGAATGTTCTTCTATTTATAGATACACTAATTCATCTGGGTTTAATCTTATTGGTCACAGTGACATCATTTGAATTATCCTCACTGGAGGCACTTTGAATTAACATAAAATGTAAGGATTTTCTCGCTATGATCTTACAAAAAAAAAAGTAAAACTGATGTATTTCTGTGAAAAGCTCCACATGCAGGAAGGTGAATTTATCCTTGATGTGATAAATGGCCTTCTTAGCAGTACTTATCCTTGCGTGCTTTGCATGTGGCTGTTGGAGTGATTAATATAAGGTCCTTCCTGGAGAAAAATGTTTTGTGGGCATATTCCAAATTATGACTTAAATTTTCATGGATTGCTGCTGTGAAATACTCAAATGCATTTATTTAATAAAAATTTTGCTATTTTTAGGTAGAGAATCTAGTTCTGCAGGGTGTTTGTAAATGGATTAAGAGTGCAGGTGTTACCAATGAAGTTACAACTAGTTACAAACAAATAGGTGCATATGTATGTCCTTATTTAACTTTAGTCAGAAAGAATTCTTATCTACTTGTGGATCCAGACAGATTACCTGAGCAATACCTTCTCTCAATGTGTTTTAAATGGCTGAGCTGAAATTTTTGCTGCCAGTATGCATGAACAATGACTTACTTAAGAGATTCTTCACAGCATTTCATTTTTATGAGAACAGCTCTCTGTGGCTGAATCCTTTGGCTTCAGGAAATCTGTGATTTGTAATGTTTCTGTGCAGTAGGAACCTAAATGTGAGCTGAAATCTATTGAAATGGAGGAAAACCTTGAAACAAGTGTTTTGTTTTATGCACATGCTTTAATGCTTAGTGAAGCTTACAACTCAGTGCATGCCCAAGTGGTTTGCCAAATTTGGGCTTAAACTGAGGAGAAATTTCTTTTCTGTCTCCTAATGCACTTATGTGTTTGTCAGACATCTTCTAGACCAAAAGAAAAATTATTAGAGCATTTTGTAGAATTGAACAATCAGACTACTGGTCAAGTATTCTTTAGACTCTTTGTGGTGCTAAGAATGTACTTTATCCATTTTTCCATGTTTTAATCCTGCTATGCCTTTCCACGTTCAACATTTACATGAGAATAATCATACTGCTTGTTGAGTAGTTGTGAAGTCATAAAAAGCTTGCAGCTCCTGTCACTCAATGTTGAGCTTTAAAGTACCTTCTAGATTTTTGAGACTAGGAATTGTGTTAAGTGCTCATCAGAGGAATTCATTTCTGCCTATGAAACTACTGGAGCTTACGCATTTATGCAAATGAATTTCTCAAAAAGGAGAGCCTGTGTGAGTAAATTATTTTATCTGATTGTGAAAGTGCTCACATTTATCAAGATGTAGAGATGCAATGCTTTAAGGTACACAGTTACAGTATTGAGTATAAACCTTATGAAGAGGACTTTGCCTTTTGTATAGTGTATTCTTTATGTGAATAAGTTTGTACAGGCATACTTAAAATAATGCCAGGCTGAAGCTCTTCAGGTGAGGCAAATCAAACAGAAACACAAAACACTTCAGTAAAAAAGGCATACCAGTAGTCATTAATGGCTTATAGGCAATAAATATTATTGTTTATAACCATCTCTTCGTAGAGGTTCCTATTCATTAAATAAAAAATCTTGACTTAGTAAAACTTAAATAAAATTACATATTTGTCATTACCAATACTATTTATATCCTCTGACGCAATTAAGGCCTATAACAGCTGCTTGAGAATTATCATATTACTTTTCCAGATAGAAAAATTAAGATATAGAAAATTAAGTCAGTTGGTAGAGATGCAGTGGGAATGGTGCAAACATCTGTTCTTCAGGTGTTAATAAAAGAGATCATTATATCTTCTCCTTTTCTTACAGGAAAAAGTAAAGCGAATTTTGTCCATGCAATATTAATGTCTCTGTGCTTGATTCCATCATTTCATCACAAACTAACAGTAATTCTGTTTTTAAACTGAAATGCTAATGTATTCTTCTTTATTTAACAATGAATTGCAAGGAATACATTACTTTTGCCTGTGCTAATATAATGTCATTCTCCCTGTGATTATCACTTTCTTTGTTTTTAGGTACTTTTTCAGTTATCTTGAATTCTTAAGTCATTGTGCCATAAAAATGAGGGCAGGGAGAGCTGTGAGAATGGACTGTACAGGATTGGGGAGGTGTTAAATTGCTATTTTTCCTGTTTCCTCTGTAGTGTCTGAAAATACGGTAGGATATTTTTTGACTCTGCAAATTGGCATAAGTAAGAGCAAGCACACTAATAGGCTTGTAATATGTGTCACTACAGGGCGTTTCTAGAAGTTGCACATTCAGTCCTTCTACAGGAAATTATTGCTCACATATGCTACAAATCATTGCTACAGGCTTTTGATCACTGTCTTGCAACTGGTGTTATAATTGATTTTTCAAAAGCTATTTCCAGCAATAAAGTGATTATATTGTCTTCAAGTTTGGGTTTTTTTTGTTTGTTGTGTTTTTGTTTGGTTTTTTTACTTCCTCATTGGGATTTTCTTTATGGATGCTGTAAGACAGTGTTTCTGTTGATTCCCTTTTCTCCTAATTGTCCAGTAATTAGTCATCTGATTATTTATATGGTCAATATATATTTATGTTTTTTCAGATCTTGTGGTGACTCTTGCATACTTCATTATTTTTTAACACTAACACCACTTAAAGCAAAACAGCCTGACTCCTTCATGCTGTACAGTTTTCCACCTCAGGGAAGCTTTCAGTAGGAGATTAGGATTATGTGAGCTGTATTATCAAACACTAGTATTAGAAAGAACCAAACCAAACTGTTAACATTTCTTTGGTTGAATAATGCATTAGTGACATTAAAAGACAGTAGCATGTGTTACTGTGCAAAATGCTGTATTATCTAGGTTAATGTAGGAGAAATGTTCTTTCTTTCTTTCTCTTTCTTTCTTTCTTTCTCTCTTTCTCTCTCTCTTTCTCTCTCTCTTTCTCTCTCTCTTTCTCTCTCTCTTTCTCTCTCTCTTTCTCTCTCTCTTTCTCTCTCTCTTTCTCTCTCTCTTTCTCTCTCTCTTTCTCTCTCTCTTTCTCTCTCTCTTTCTCTCTCTCTTTCTCTCTCTCTTTCTCTCTCTCTTTCTCTCTCTCTTTCTCTCTCTCTTTCTCTCTCTCTTTCTCTCTCTCTTTCTCTCTCTCTTTCTCTCTCTCTTTCTCTCTCTCTTTCTCTCTCTCTTTCTCTCTCTCTTTCTCTCTCTCTTTCTCTCTCTCTTTCTCTCTCTCTTTCTCTCTCTCTTTCTCTCTCTCTTTCTCTCTCTCTTTCTCTCTCTCTTTCTCTCTCTCTTTCTCTCTCTCTTTCTCTCTCTCTTTCTCTCTCTCTTTCTCTCTCTCTTTCTCTCTCTCTTTCTCTCTCTCTTTCTCTCTCTCTTTCTCTCTTTCTCTCTTTCTCTCTTTCTCTCTTTCTTTCTTTCTCTCTTTCTTTCTTTCTTTCTTTCTTTCTCTCTTTCTCTTTCTTTCTTTCTCTTTCTTTCTTTCTTTCTTTCTTTCTTTCTTTCTTTCTTTCTTTCTTTCTTTCTTTCTTTCTTTCTTTCTTTCTTTCTTTCTTTCTTTCTTTCTTTCTTTCTTTCTTTCTTTCTTTCTTTCTTTCTTTCTTTCTTTCTTTCTTTCTTTCTTTCTTTCTTTCTTTCTTTCTTTCTTTCTTTCTTTCTTTCTTTCTTTCTTTCTTTCTTTCTTTCTTTCTTTCTTTCTTTCTTTCTTTCTTTCTTTCTTTCTTTCTTTCTTTCTTTCTTTCTTTCTTTCTTTCTTTCTTTCTTTCTTTCTTTCTTTCTTTCTTTCTTTCTTTTTCTCTGCATGTTTTCTCCCAGCTACTTTTTTTTGTTTCTTTTACTTCAGGAGCTCCAGATACAGCTAGAGGAATTTAAAAGAAAATCTCAGTGTGAACTAAGAGAACTACAGAAAGAGAAAGAAGTCCTAACTGGGAAACTTCAGAACTCTTCACTTGAGGTAAAGTGGGCATAACTGGAATGTAGTAATGAAAGGGCTCTTCATTTTTCCTCTGGTCTGACAGATTCTTGATTAGATTTTAATTGTATTTGCTGTGGCTATCATTCAAGAAAATACGCAAGGACTCTAGATAGAAATAACAGAAATTACTGCTCCTGAACATGTGAAGATTTTGACAAGCCTATTTATTTTGGTAAATTTCATATATCAGTCTTTTAAGATATGCTGATGCTTTTTGATAAAGAGTTTAGCTATAGCAGGTTTGGAAAATGACTCTGGCTGTTTGTCTGTATACAGAGCTAAGTGAGATTAGAAGATTATTTACAGCTCTTGTTGATTTTCTGATTGTGTGTGTGTGTGTGTAGACATGTAAAAGTACCTGCTTCTTTGTTTCCTTGAGTAGGAAAATTGAATGGTAAAAGGTCAATAGATCATTGTTTCTGTTCTGCCTGCTTGATGATAAGGGAGAAGATTGGAATATGCAATAATTTATATAAGTAGTTAGGTATCCCTCCCTCTATGTTCTCAAGATAAGAATGAAATAGAGAATGCATTGTGACCCCAAAGTAGCTTTGAGGGTGTCATAGCTTATGTACTGTTGCTCACGCTGGTTACACCTAAGTCATAATGCAAATCTGCAGAAAGAAATTCCTGAGCCAGACTGAGGTAGCTGCGGGGTCGTTCAGCCTGAAGAAAACTCCAGGGGGACCTTACAGCAACCTTCCAATACCTGAAGAGAGCCTGTAAGAAGGCTGGACACCTGTTCACAAGGGCATGTAATGATAGGACAAGGGGTAAAGGTTTCAAGCTAGAGAAGGGTAGATTTAGGTTGGACATCAGGAAAAAGTTCTGTAACATGAGGGTAGTGTGTCACTGGAACAGGTTATCTAGAGAGGTGGTGGATGCCCCTGCCCTGGAGACATTCAAGGTCAGGCTTGATGGGGCTCTGAGCAATCTGTTATAGCATGAGATGTCCCTGCTTATTGTAGGGGGTTGGACTAGATGACCTTTAGAGATCCCTTCCAACCCAAGGTACTCTATGATTCTATTAGATTATCCACACATAACAGCTATTATGTATCATCAGTTGCAGGCCAAGTGACACAAATTTTCCAGATTTCCATCTTCCGAAACATTTATACAAGAATGTGTCATTATTTGAAAAGCTGTAACGTGTTGGATAAATAATTTTCTGCTAAAACAAAAGCAGAACTCCTACCAGGCCATTATTTTCTGAGGTAAACCATTCACCTTAATATTTTCTTGCAACTGTGAATACACCTTTTCTCCCTCTCAGATGTTCCCATTTTGAGTTGTTCAGTTCTTTGCAGGAAACGCTCTCTACTTTAAAATGTTATGGACAGGGCATATCCTTTTCTCCAGTGTGATCATGTGAAGTTTTTGCCTGTGGACATTTTAATGCTTTAATCTCACATATAAGCTTTAAAGCCTTAACTCCTCTTTTATCATGAGATCATGGTAAATGCAAGAGGTGGGAACTTATTGCCAATATAAACATATATAAATAATATAAATAATAAATATCATGCCATATGTTATGTCCACAACATCATGGTAAGTATGAAAAGCTACACTAAGAAAAGTTTGAACATATCTTAGAATCTAATGATGTCCCCAGAAGGGTGGAAATGCTCCTTCTGAAGAGAAAAATTACATTTTTATTGGTGTTCTGTAAGTTACTTTCTGAACCAATTACTTGGCAGTATTGCCAGAGAAGTGAAGATGTTTCGATTTGTAATACTTGCCTTTTATAAATCTGTGAATAATCACAGCCAAGAAGTCACCATTTACTGTACAACATTATGTTTCACTGAGGGCATGATGCCCAGCTGGGAACCTTTGCAATGGCTCAGCCCAGAGCTTCTGCCTCAGAGGTTAGGCAATGTGCTGTTACTAATCTAGTTCTAACCTGGATACAATTTCAGATCCAAAAATAGCTTCCTCAACAGCATAAGGTACATTTTTGGTTGGGCTGACATAACTAGAGTAATATGCAGAGTAGACAGAATCATGACAGTTTTATCTCTTTGGGGATGTACTTCAAAGTGGCCGTATTTCTGTATTACTGAGATTCTTCTGGATAAAGAAATCAGATTCACTCTTCTTTGGTCCTTTGGAAGGAAGGATGTGAGATCCTGTGTGGATCAAATTGTAATTGGTAGGAGTCCTCCAGTTTCTTGCTGTTACACCACAGGGTCTATTCAACACATGTTAAAGGAGCTATTATGTTTTTAGAAGGTGCATGAAATGGAAGCACAGGCATCACCTTGTCATAGATATATCTTTGAACAATGCTAGCACAGCAATGACCAGAGCCTTGAGGAAGATCTTGTAAGTTCCACCCAACAGCAGCAGTTGAGGTGTACCTAGTGTGTTCACCTGTCTCTTCAGTCAGGAATTGCTATAAGTTTAGGAAGGCAGTTAACTGTGAACTTAATAAAAATGACTGTGAAATAACCCTAAACACAACAGTAAAATGTGTAATTTCATTATTTTGTTGTTACTTCTTATATCATGTTACTATTTTGATGTAATAGCATCATAGTATGAGTAAAACCCTGAAGCATTTGGGTGTCTTATTTTGACTCTGAACTAATTCTCATTTGTGGTGGCTCTTCTATAATACATCAAAAGGCAGCTTTAAGTCTTTTACATAAATTCATCCCCTAGCAATGCACTGAGAAACTTGGATCTATCTACTTAAAAGATACAGGAAGTCAAAATATTCTCTCTGATTCCAACTTTAGATCTTGCCTTTGAGATTTCACACTTCTTACATACAATAAATAAAAGAAGGGGAGAGCAGACATAAGATAGACTTCAAGTATTCATAGTGCTTGCAAGCACAGTGAACTGAAAATTATCAAAGCAGAAGTCAAACAGGGGAGCCAACTGTGATGGCATGCACAGCCTTACACTTGCCCAGTACTTTTGCTCATGGGCTATCAAAGCCTGAGAGGAACTTCTTCAAAAGAATCAAGCCATTTTCCCCAAGAGAACAACAATATTTATGGTTAGAAAAGAACAGAACTTGAAAGGCCTTTGAAATATTTCAAAACTTATCTGTTCTCTTTTAGTAATAGTTGTTCGTTTTTCTGTGCTTGGAAGACAGTGGGAGGCAAAATCAACTGTCATAAGAAAGGGCAAGTGTAAACATAATCCTGAAGTTTGAAAGGAATGCAGCAAAGCCTAGAAGAATACTGTTGCCTGTAATTTATATTGTTGATAGGTATTAGTTGTATCTTGATTTAATTCTGTTGGGAAAAAATGATTGAATAATGTTATTAGAGGTACTTTTTTTTTCAAGAGGGCTGGTTGGGTTTTTTTTTTTGCAGCAGGAAGATATTATAAAGCACATGTGAGCCAGTACTGGGGGGCAGTTTCCCACAGCACAACATCACACAGTGTTGCTGGTTTGTAAAATGAGCCAAGTAAGATTCTGGAATGATGTGAATTGGCATAGTTTCATTGGCTTAAATGTTGCTTTAACAATTTATACAAATTGAGGGTCTTAATACCTGTTTTGAAGTAATGAAACACAACAAAATGCCACAACATGTTCCAGAGAGGGATTTGCACTGGTGGATTTGAAAGCCCTTGTAATTGAAAGACTGGAGGAAACCTGATAACTGGAAATATTTGTTTCTCAACCTCTAATAAATTACAAGTAGCAGGCTTCATGAGAAAGAGCCTGTTTGTCTGCCTGATACATTTCTGTAGGTCTTTTTCCATAGGTCACTAAAAAAATAATGTATTTAGAAATATTCTTCTATCTGATTTATTACTACTTTATCTTCTCTGTTGAAAACAATTTACTGCTTAGCCTGTTTCTAGTTAGGATGATTTTATGTTTCATGTTAAAAGTGCTTGGAACCAATAATTGTCTTTGAAGACAGCCTGGAAGGTTAATAATGTGACCACAGCTCTAGGTTATAAATGCTTCTTTTCATCTTTCCCACCTACAGGAATACTTAATTTGCAAAAGAAATATTCCAAGCCACATTTTTTCTGTTTCAAATTTTTCTGTTAGAAAATATGTAGCCTGCTCTTCTGACACATCCTTCTTACTCGCTGACTTACTTTCAGGAAGCCCAGAAAATAAATGCATGCTTGAGTGTAGTAATGTTAATGCATATTATATCAGCTGATATAGGGGACTGTTCAACATTTAAGTGTTTCATGTCAAAGCTTAGTTTTACAAGAAACTGCAGTACCTAAAGACTTCCATGTTACCTTTCTTTATACAGGCAAACATTGGCTGGAGTTCAGTAGATATTGTGACAAAGTAAATGTTTTACCTGTAATCAGAAGCGAAAGTACCCCTTTGATTACATCTTATGATTTATCACTAATTTTTAAAAAAAAAATAAACAAAAAATGCAGCAGCTCTGGAAACAAAAGTACAATTGTCAAGTGTCTCTGGCATCTGCCTGTTCCTGGAGTGTATCCAGGACTCAGATAGATCCCATCACACAGACACGTAAAAGACAATTGATGTTTTTAATTAAGAATAATATGTAGCAATTACTCTTCACTAGTTTGTTCACAGAATATTAGGGGTTGGAAGGGATCTCCGAAGACCATAGAGTATCTGTTCAGACAGATAATTTTATTTGTGTTTAATTGGATGACACAAAGGAAAAAGCCAGGAAAAGACTGGATTAGTTAATTTAAACTCACAGTTTGTGGCTGATGAAGCTAGGTGCTCTTTCAAATTTGCTAACTCATATCAGTTTCATTGTATAACTTCAGTGAAATTCAAATGCACAATGTTCATTTGAAATGGTTTAAGAAATGGTAAAACTAGTATTGTATCGAATCTGCACTTGTGTGTATTTGAATAATTTAAAGTCACCTGAAAACATGAGGATGCAAACTTCTTCCTTTCCCCAGTTGTTTATTCTTATGAACAGGTATTTTTTTGGCACTTCTGTGTCAACTATTACACACAGGTATGCTGTCTACTAACAGCAGTAGACATGTAGTGTGGTGTGCACAATGTTGTTTCCATTGGTTCTAGTCTACTGCTTTATATAAATGGACTCTGCAGTGTTACATCTCCAAGATGACAAGAAGCACAGCCTTAGGCCTGCCTCCTGGTTTGTGCTATAATTACTGTGCAAGTTGAACTATGGATTGTACATATGAGATGGAGGCAATTTGAAAATATATAATTTAAGAAAAGTACTTGATGGGCAAAAGACAGTATATGCAAAAGGGATGTCATTCTTCACTGAAAAAGGGCTTCTTGCACAAAACAAGCATCTTGCTGTTTTTCAGATGGCAGCAGAAGTTCATAAAGAGTACTAAAATTTACATTCATTCCTCTCCATTGTGAATGCAGCCATTAATCTTATCCTGCTGACTTACTTTTCTGGAAGGTGGCTCAGCTGAAGCAAATATTAGACCAGCAAGCAAATAATTTCAAGGAGTCACTGAAGAAACATAATCTACAGTCCAACAAAGAAAAAGAGAAGCTTTTGCAGGATCTTCAAAATACCATTAAAGAAAACCAGAATGTTAAACTGCAGCTGGAGGCATCACATCAAAAAACCTTAAAAATGTTGGAGAAAAACAAAAATCAAGAACTCAAGGTCAGTTTATTACATACTAGTATATATAAAAAATATGTATTTATGACATAAGACATATTAACTAGATCTGATTATCAAAACTCAGTTACCTGCTTTTATCTTAATGATGGGTTGCCATTGTTGCCCAAAATGAATTCTGTGATTTTGAAGCCTCATCATCTTTAGAATAAAGGGGCTTTTGTGTTCTGTTTGGTTGGTTTGGTTTGGGTTTTTGGGGGTTTTTGTTTTGTTTTGGGTGTTTGTTTGTTTGTTTGTTTGTTTGTTTGTTTGTTTGTTGGGGTTTTTCTAATATTTGAACTTAGACCACAGTGTGAATGAAATAGCATCATAAAATAATATAGTCTGCCCTCTACAGTTAGGCTGCAATGCATGCAAACTCCTCTAGCTGTGCCCTTGCTGCAGAAATACAAGGGAACTCCTAGGTATATTGTTAACAGGACTCAGTTTTATTCTTTTTCCTCCATTATTCATTTACACATAAATAGTTAAAATAAGTATAGTAGACATGTATAACGATGTGTATTGCCCTACATATCTTCAATAAATCAATTCTGTAAGTGCATAACCAAAGCTTTTAAAGGTTCAAGTGGCTTTATTTAAGTGGCAAATTATTAATGCAATATATTGAGGTTCTAAAGAATGTTGCTGTTTGAGGACAAAAAAAAAAAAAAAAGTCAACTCAAAAAACCTACACGTGATTGTGACATGGACTGCATGTGTCCCTGTGTAGATTGCACACCTTCAGGAAAACCTCCTTACTAAATTTATATAGTAAAATCATCCTAAGTAGAATTTACTATCTTGATTATATCTTGAAAATAAAATCCCAGCTTTAATAAAACCAAGCTGAAGGTAGTAAACTGGTAAAAATTAAACCGAGGATAGAAGTTTGCTTTTAGAGGCACAACAGAGCAACAGTGTATCAGCAGTGCTTCTAACAACAGTGGAAATTTTAGCCAAGAACAGGACAAGGAAAGGTGAAAGCCTTTGTCTGATACACTGGTAAGTAATGACATACAGATCAAATCGGGGGGGATTTGAATGTTGATTCTAATGGCAAATAGTGCAAAGATGCCAGTGTTATTATTTCATAATGTACAACAAATCTAATAGCTGACACCTTGATAATTTATCTTGTCCCTATTAAATTTTATTTTTTAACTTCAGCTAATTTTTATTCTTGTGTTGATGAAGTGTCATATGAAGTGTGATGAAAATAAAAGTTCTACAATGAAAGACCAGATTCATCCTGGCATTAAAAGTAAAACAACAAAGTGCTAAATATGCTCCAACTACTTTGTTTTCTTTTCTGGGTTTTTTTTTTTTGCTTACAGGAGGCAGAAGAACGTTTGAAAAAGGAATTTAATGAGACTTTCAAGATCCAACATCAGTCTCATAAGCTGGAAATACAAACCTTGGAAGAGAAAGCAAAAAAAGAATTACATGACGAACTCGAACAGATACAGAAGCAGCAAACCCTGTTGCTAGGTATAATGTCTCATGTCTCACACAGCTCCTACTGTTTGATTATATGCTGAAAAGCACTGAATTTCTTAGCATTCAATTTCTCTCCCATCTTCTGGGAACTCAGGACTTTGTGAATCTCCTTTTCCATACTTTGTAATTTCAGCAATACAGACTTAATATTCTTTGTTAATATAGCTCTCAACTGTCAGCAGCAGAATGGTGCTGGGTGGGTGTTCTGGTGTACAACATTTAGGTATGCATTATCAGCTATATTAAATTGGAATATTGTAGTTTATATTACTTTCCTCTTTTTTTTCTATGATGTGAAGAATTATGTGTGGTTCAAGTTTGTTCTGTTGAGTTCAGCAGTGTAGATCAGTTTTGTTTAGTCAGTTTAGAAAGTTCTCTGAACTGTTCAGAACAAAGAACACTGCTTTAGGGACCTGTAATATCTCTGGGCTTGAACTCGGTTTATTGAACCATCTATAAAAGGTTTTTTAATTAAAGAAAGAATAATTTGAAAGTATTTTAAGTACAAACTGGATTACCTTCTTGGGATTTTGTTCAGTATATAAAATTCCCTAGAAAAATGTGTTGCTCTCTGAAGTTTTTATGTTTAGTAGATGAATTCTGTTCTTTTTCAGGAAAAATTGTATGGAGACAATAGGTTAAAAAAAACCCAACAAAACAAAAACCCGAAAACCTTATTTCTCCTTGTACTTGATCAATCCCAAAACTTGTATCCAATATACACAAAAGTTGCAGTATATGACCAATCTGCTTATGTAAATCTTGTGCTTCTCTAACACAACTAGAGCTCTCCTCAGTCTGCCTCATGGCTCTCTATAGAATTCCAGTGGACCTAACAGGGAAGCTCAGGGGTGCTCCAGTAAAGTTCAAGGTTAGAAGGAGCAATTCTAGTGCTTTAGTTTTCAAAACAACTGCCTCAGAATTACCTCTCTGATTATGATGTTAAGTCATTGCTATTGTAGCTCCGTATCTTCTTGCTATTGCTCAACTGAGATAGTTGTCTAGTAATAGGAGGCCATTATATCTAATGGTGAAGGAGAGGAGGAGCAAAGCAAAATCCAGTATATGAACATTTTCATCTACATTGTCTATATCTGCCTTTTCCATCCAGCTGGCCTCTGACTGCCTTAATGATTGTCTGATTTTTACTAGGATCTCTACGGTTGGAACTCTCTGAGCAGCAGACATCATGCACTAATCTTAAGAAACAAATAGAAGAACTCCAAACAGAGCTGAGGAGTGTGAGGACACTGAAGAAGCAACAGGCAAGAATCCAGTTTTTACTTGGCTACCACGTTGTGTTTTGCAAAAGCAGCAGTATCACATTCTTCTCTCTGGAGGTAACAGAAGTGTACAGAATCTCTTGCAGAAATTGAATGGGTTTCCTTCTTACATCACACTTAAAAATGTTAGAATTGTTTATCATCCTTTATTCCATTTACAGAACAAAATCTACAACTCAATTAAATTAATGAATTTTATAATAAAATAAACTTTATGAGGGCTATAAAATATGTTCAGGAAGTTTTGATCACAGATTTTGTGTTGCACGTAGTATTACACATATTACTGAAAAAGCAGTGCAAAAAAGTCAGTGCACACAATTCCAGTGAGCTCTTTGCTTTAAATAATTAGAGGCTGTGAATAACTAAATTTGGCCTTTTTCTTAGGAAGGAAGTAGCCAGAGCCAGATCAGATCTCTTCATGATGACCTGGAAAAATGTCAGAGTGAAATTACCGAACTCAAGAAAGAGAATTTACTTTTGAAGGATACAATGGAGCTACTCAGTGCTGAGCTGGAGTTGCAGAAGCAAGAAGCTGCCCAGCTCCAGGATAGGGAGAAACAGTACAGAAGGTTTGCCTTGAATTCACACTTCACAATGCTATCTAGAGAGTCAATAATAATGCCAGCATAAGGTTTTCTAAATGTAATGAGTGTCAGAATCTCTCTTTTCTAAAGTACTAATTTTATAAGTTGGAAGTTTTGCAAAAGCAGTAGTTCATTTCACATTTCTTCCAGCCATGATAAAAGTATGTGAACTAACTGTTCACTATATGTCACAAAGAAGTATGTCCAGTGTAGCCCCATAGGAGTGACCTTAGAAAATCTGCGCAGTATCTGATTTTTGAAAAGCGTTGAAAGACAGAAACACACCCCACCCCAAACTCACCCAAGAGCTATTGAAAAAATGTACAAGTTTCTAAGAATAAATGTCAGTTTCTCATACATACTCTGTAGCTAAAACCAATGGGTTGTTAACTCTAAAGGGACACCAGAGAATGCTGTATGTAGTCTGTGAGATTGTGCTTTGGCTGTTAACAGCCAGCTTTGCACTGAGGGAGGAACAGCAGTGATAGCAGATACTGGCAGTGCCTCTGGGTGGATGGAAGCCTGGAGCTGTAATGTGCTGTCAGAGCACAGGAAGGGTAAGCTCACTTGTAGTCTTGACTGTCTTTGTAGAAAGTAACCCACATCCTCTTAGTGTAGCCACAGGCTACACAGGCTCAGAGCACGTGTTACACTGCAGTAATAGCAGTCTCCCCATCTGCCTACAAAGTGCAGGGCTTGCCTTTTACATGGAAGAAAAGACTGAGGTTCACTGCCCAGTGCATTTGTACGGCTGTTGAATCCTTTGAAATGTCTGGATTATCATATTTAACACATTCTCTTTGCAGAGAGATTGAGGGATCTGGTGCATGGGTACCTTTCAATTCATTTCTGCAGTGGTGTAGAATGTATGCCCCTAGCTACTCAAGCTGTATATAAAAAAGGATTTCTGAAGAGTATACCCTTAAAGAAATCTTTAAAATTATGTCCTGCATAGTCTAGACAAAAGCACTCAACGGATTCACTGTCTCTCGGCAATTTTAGAGTGGCCAGAATAAATCTGGTGCTCTCTACCAGCCTAGATACTTAAAGAATGAAAAATTAACTTTTTAATTTTTTTTCCCTCTGCACTCTTTGGAGAGTTACTTGAAGTTACTTTAATTTCAAGCTTTTGAAGATAAACAGAAAGAATTACAAACCAGAGAGTTTGTTTAGTGCCCTCCAACTATCCTGAAGGAATTTACAGGCTCTGTTCATGAAGAGAAGGATTATTCACATCAGTGATGAGGTCTAAAAGGCCTCAAATGCTAAAGCTGCTGAGCTGGAGAAGAATATTTACAGGGGATGGATGATGTAGTTCTACTACAGAAAGCACTTGAGCAGGAAGCATTAATGGAAATTATGTATATAGAATTCCTTCGAATAACAGGAGGTAGGACCAAAGAGCTCAAATGGTCCTAGGCACCTGATACAGGCTGCTCTGAAATTAACCCATAAAGATCTGGAACATTAACTTGCAGCTCTTGTTTTGCTTTTGCAGGACCAATAATTTGGGTAGAGGAATAGTTAAATTGGTGAGTGCATACAAGTAACAGCTTTTTATGACCTCACCCTATGCAGTTGTTTCTGTTTTGAAAGCTGAAAGTGACTTGTTATTTACATGTGCCAAATTTTTATAACCATTTATTTTACACTACTATTCCTACTGTTGCAAAGTAAGTGAAACCAGTAATCTCCTTGAATTAATCATTCCCATTTCCATTCTCTTGAATTATGTCCTTTTGAAAGGACTAGGATGAAAGCAGACAGAGGTTTGGGTTTTTTTTAATGGGAAGAAAGGACAAGTCCCAAAACAGCTACTCTGAAAGAGAGCTTTTATTCTGCCCCAGAAGGTCCATTTCAGGGATTCTGCTCCCATTTTCCCTCTTATTCTTCTGCTTTTTGTTTTGTGCCAAGGGCCAATCAATCACTCCCATGGCTGTGATCTAATTTCAAGGGCGGAGACTTCTCATGGGCCTTTTGGTCTTTCCTGAAGCATTTCAGGAACAAGTGAAAGGGGATTAGAAGTACATTAAAAATAAGGGGAACGGGGGGGCTGTGTGGAAAGGTAAACTGAGTATCTTTTGTGAAAATTACAATTCTTAACAACCTCCTGAGTTTGACATGTCTGTTTTAATCAGTAAACAACAGAACGTGGGCTCTGCATTCAGTTAATGAAAAAAATTTCTCCAAGCTTCAATGAAACATGAGCAAACAAAAGGCAACAAGCTGACAATGACTCTTCAATAGATCTCTGTTCATTTTGGGATTGGTATCAGAAAGCAATGTTATTAACTGAAAAATGTTAGGCACTTTTTTATTTTTCAGTTTACAGTGTTAATCAAATAGCAGTATCTTTGAAAATAATAGTCTGCTAAAGACAAATATAGTTAAAGGCACTGTTATAATGTTTCATACATTGACATTTTGAAAAAATATATTTAGGATGGTGGTAGGCAGTATTAAATATTTGTAGTGCCATAATGTGATTAAATACAGAATCAGAACCTCATATTGAAATCCAAGAGATTTCAAAATAAATTTGCTTAATACAAGTGAGTTCCTATGGTACTTAATTGTCATGTTTGACCACTAAGATTGATACACAAACTAGCCATAGACAAAATGTCAATAGCATAATTTTATAGAATAGAACCTCCATTTCCCGAGGGCTGAAATTCTCCAAATAATTTTACTCTTCCTCAGTGTTTGTGTAGTTCTTCAGATTGCATCTGAAGTGTCAAAGTCAAATTAGTGAGCAGAAGCTCAGAGCTGAGCCCAATTAACTACCCATATAGTCGATATAAAACCTCAAAACCACATACGTTGATCAATTATAGTAAACTAGTATTGAAACATGAGAATTCAGACGTATTTTAATACCAATGAAAAGCTACTGGTAGAAGACCTCAATGTCAACCATAAAAAAGAACTGGACATACTGAAATAAGATCACCAGAAGGAAATTGAAAACATATTATCTGATTTCAGCAGCACTTGGGCACATCTCCTGACAAAAATTTTCTCCTAAGAAACTAAGTAAGTAATTTAAATAAACTCTGGTTCATACTTGTAAAGGTCTATTTGAAATTCTTATTCTTAGAATGTATATATTTTTTTTATTACTCACAGATAGAATATTAAAAGCACTGACCTAGAATTGTATAGGTATTTTCTTTGCAAACATAAAAAGACCCATATATATATTGTAATAAACTTTGAATATAATTTAATGTAAAGCATCATACATACAGTTTTACAGTGCTAAATTAAAACCTGCATTTAGTATCTTGAAATTTTATGAAGTGTAAAATCATGTTTGCCACAGATGATACTAGAGGTCTTGATCCATGATCTTGTACTGAATTTTGCTCAGCAGACCACCATCTTTGAGGTTATGCCCTTACTCATTCTCACTCCTTTGTGAGTTTTCCGGGACAGTCCCCATTAACTCATGTAAATAAATGCATTTTGCAGCCCCCTGTGGAGTTAAGTAGTTCTGTGGTGCTTCAAACTACAGGAGAGGCCCCTCAAGAATAATCCTTGTGATTATCATTATCTATTGTCCTTTGTTCTTATTCCAGCTGTGTGGCATAGGTCCAGGAGAGAGACGTACTTGCATGTAGGCAGATCTCAAACCATTCAGATGTTAAGATTTATCTTTTTATCTAAATTCTGAGATACACTAAATTAAGAGTGTAAGATTAGGGGGGGTCCTCTCAAAAATGTTTACCCTTACCTAAAAAACCCCACAAAACGATGCTTTGTGTTCTGTAATGTATTTCTCAGTATGGCAGGTGAACTTCATAGCACTCAGTTTCTCAAGCAGCAAAATTTATTAACTTGGCTGGTGAAATAATGACTTGTTTTCTCATGGCTCAATCAATTGTATGTTTCCACACAATCTCTAAGAAGGTCTAAGTTCTCATTTGAATCTTTTGCCAGGATTTAAGGCATTTAAGGAGCTGAACTCACACTACAGGTTGTAACTTAGAAAGTCCCTCTTTTCATGAATGTTAGAGGAACTGAGTATTTCTAAGGCCTCTATTAAATATGGTTGGAATTCACCTGTGGATTCTAAAGTTATTGGGTCAGAAAAGAGAACCAGTAGATCAACACAGACATGCATAGATACTCTGACAGTTTTTTTTCTTTAGGAAACTAGTCTAGCAAGGTAATGTGCAAGCTTGTTAGTATTTTACACCAGGGGCTCGATTTTACACTGGACAGATGTGGTAGGTTAATCCTGGTGGCAGTTTAATTTGGAACTCCACAATATTCTATACTTATATGTAATCCATCTACAGATGCCCATTTATAAAAAAAAATGCTGTTTTGTCAGAAAGGCCTGACTATGTCCCTGTATTTTAGGCTTGGAATTTAGGGCAGTGTACAGCCTGCGTATCTCTTGAACCTGGTCTGAGGAAGTATTTTCCGGTCTGCATTTTCTTTGGTACAGACTTAGAGAATTAGAAGAAAAGTCAAGAAAGTGGGAGTCCAGAGCAGAAGATGCACACCTTATAAGCTGTCTGCAAGACAAATTAAGTGAGAGAGAAGAGATTATCAAGAAGCTGGTGGTAAGATTTTCTTTTATATGTAAACATGTATTTTGGAATCTGCTGGTATTCACTGCTTCTGGCTGATACTTTCTGTTCTGGAATATTTTGAAAAATATGTTTCCATACCAATTTCAAACAAATAGATGTTTCCATACACATAACTTTCTTTCCCCTCAGGAAGGAAGAAAATGTCAGCATTCACTTCTAGCCAACACTGAATCTTACAGGAATCGATCATTTTCTTTCAACCCTAATACAGGATGCTTGTCTTCTTCCATGAAGGTAACATGGGCAATGCAATTAAAATGACAAATTGGGATTTTTTATTGCTACTTGAATCATACAGATGGTCAGGACAATAAAGATCCCATTAATTTTTATGGTTATGTTGTTCAGTAGAATTCTTTCCAGTAAGCCAGCCTACAGTCAGGTGCTGAGTATAACATAAATTCAGTAGAAGTATGTATGCACATAGATGCAGGTGTTTAAGCAAATACAATATACTGCGAAGTCTTCCACTTGGGTAAGCACAGGCATTGCTTGCAGATTTGAGACTTGTTATTTGGCATATTGTGTGCATCAAAGAAAATTATTAACTTGGACTGCACAGGATCTGTCCTTTGTCATTCCAGCCCCTCTGTAAGATACTGTCTATAGTCTTGGAAAGATGGGAGGTCGATTTGGTGGAAATCACCTAACTGAGCTCTGCAGAGCTATCAGCTTTGATGTATCTAAAACCTCAAGGTCAAATACACCAATTATTTTAATTGGTTTCCCTAATCCTTGGATCTTCACAGCTTACACTGAAAATTTATTTTATATGCCTGTAGAAAAATATGGGAATCTTCATTTTTGGGTGCTCCTCACAAAGCTGTCTAGGAATGAGTTATTGTTGAAGGTTTATAGTATGAAGTGTAAAAAAAATAATGCATGTGTAATGAAGTGTTCTGTTCCAACAAAAAGCACCAAAAGAAAACAGTTGAGGTGCCCAGTCGTGTTGTCAGTGTTCCGGATTTAGCTTCCTATGCAAAGAGCTTCTTGAGCTGTGACTTGAGATCAAGAAGAAGTGCTCCTCAAATAAAAAAGTCTACAAGCTTAGACCGGAGTCCTGGCGGCCTCAGGGTGGGTTCTCCATCAACACAGTCCTCAGAGAGCAGTGCTGCCACAAGGTATTTGTCCATTTTGTAGTGACTTGTAAGTTGATACATGAATTGGTATTTGGAATTGTGTAGGCATTCAAACACATTAGGCATTTGGTAATATTGATGTAAGGTTCCTGCTGGGCAGTGAAGTCTGTGTTCAGTTCTCTGAAGACAGACCCAGAAGTTTATTGCAGGAGTAGGCTATGATCACTGCCCAGCACAGCTTATGATTGCAAACCCTCCCAATACAGAAAAAAAGAGAATTGCAAGTATCTAAGTAAGAACGTAGTTAATAGTGAACATGGCTGTTTAAAACTTGAGGCCTGTATCAGTGGTTCTGTTAAGGATGTGTTTTCCTTCTTGCTTTTGTTTCCTCATTGCACTTGGTAAATGTAGATTGAATATTTTTATTTTAATTAGTCTAATCTGATAGTTTTTTTCTCTGAAAAGCTTGAATTTTTAACATTTATGAGTTAATATTTAAACAATGTTTAGCATTTTATAAACATGATTGAACTATCTCTTCAAGAAATAGTTTAAAAAATGAAGTTAGCAGTATGCAGTTATGATAATTTTAAAAAAACAAAACAAACAACCAATAAACAACAACCTACCACTATTCTTCAGAACAAAAGCCAGCCTTCTCACCTATCTCCTAGTGTAAATTAATTATCCTATAAATTGTGTGCTACTGAGTTCTTTCCATGAAGGCAGATGGTGCTGACTGCTGCCAAAGACAATAACCTGGGACATAGGCTTGAATCCAGTTTGGCAGTTCCTACATCTTAAAGATAAAAGCATTCTGTGTCATGCCAGATGTCTGCCAAGCCAAATCAGATTTATACTTTAAAGGGAAACATACAGAGAGACTGAAGGTAGCTTGGCTGCTACTTACATTAAATCAATCAATCATAAATGAAGTCATATTGACTACTATAAGCTAACCAAAATTAACATTAATCAAGCATCCTGAATGCTGAAAAAAACAGAGGTTATGTAATAGGATTTGTTATAAAAAACAGCTAATATTGAAATAAATATTAGTTCCAAAGAAAACTTTTACCCAACATTTTTAGTGTATAAATTGTTTCATATTTTTAAAGAGTGAATTGCAACTGCCATTATCTGATTTTCAAGACTTCTATTCTCAAACCATGTTTTTTATTCTTTTTTGATATGTCAAGAATTGTGTTAAAACATTTCTCCATAGCTGTTCAGCCCTCCTTAATGCTCTTGTTTGTTTTACCATCAGTGCTGTTAGCCCAGCTATTAACCCAGCAAGCACAGATCCCTCTAGAAATTGTAGCTGGTACACTTTTGCCTCATGCAGTTCATCTGAGCACAGATCCATTTGTAGGATCATGAGTTTTTCCAGGAAAAAAAAAAAAAAAAAAAAAAAAAAAAAAAAAAAAAAAAAAAAAAAAAAAAGTATTATACTTGTGAGTAAATAAATATGTACATTTTAAGTGATGCTAATGCTTATTTGTTTCCACAGGACACACTGCAATGAACCACCACAAACCAAAGATGACCAAAAGCAAGACCCACAGCCTCAAGAATGGTTTACTAAATATTTTTCATTTTAAAGAAAACTATGACCATACTTCTCAGAATTACTAGAAAAGGTCTTCCTGCTTTCCTTTAGGGCATGATAATCCAATGTACAATTTAGAAAAAAATAAGAAACATGTAATTTCCATGTAAATAATTAGGAGCAACATGTAATTGCTATGGAGTTACAGGCATGGATTTCAGAAAAATGCCTTTTTTTTTTTTTTAACCACCTCTTTAAATAATGAACAAAAAGCAAAATTCTGAATACTCGTATGTGAAGACATTTTAATCAAGAGATCATCCCACTCCACAATTACAGTCAATATGCAGTTTGGTCTTTGATATGTCCTGTCAATCTGTCCTCTGCTGAAAAAAAGATCATACTTCTGTAGGTTTATACATTTGCTTAACCAGCTGTTTAAAATGATTTCTGCATATAGTAATGCAACTTTTTATATTTTAAGAGGTTTTTTGTTAAAATTGTTTTAAGCCATACAGCATGCAGTATACCTTCAACAACAGCATGTTTATAGCAGGTTGGTTTAGAAATACTTCCCAGTTTGCTTAATAAACTGTTTTGTATAGTCAGCATTGCAATATAATATTGTTGCACTTCAATACTTGTAACAATCAGCCTTTTAAATTAGGATAACAGTATGACAATTACACTTGTTTGTAAATAATCCATTTCCATATTTTGCAAAATAGTGCTATTTATGTTGAAGTGTGAGTCAGACTGATACAGAGTTCCAGCTTTATGGGAACTGCATCCTTGTACATTTTATCTCAATATTGCTCTTATGTCTGCCAAAATGCCATGTGTGGGAATGACTGCATTTATCAGATCATGCTAGCTAACATTACTGGGAGAAGAGACACCCATGGAGAAATGAACCCACAGGTAATTCATCAACAAATGTGAAAGCAGCCTAGAGTTTCAGACAAGATAGCTCATCTTCAACTGCTGTATGATTTGAAACTCCGTTTAATTTCAGCAAGCAGGGTCCAGCTACATAGGAAGGTTTAGGGGTGTGACGAGGTGTGCCTCCAGCCTCACCTCTCCTGATGTCTTAGAGCCAGCAAGCACTGCACCAACACAGCACTTACTGCAGAACAACTACTGCTCCTCAAAAAGGTGGCAGAAGGGACAGAATGCTTCTGCAGGCCAATACTTTCATCCTAGCTGTTTAGTATTTTTTCCAAGATTAACTGCTTGGTGAGAAGGAGACTGGCATCAGGTTTGGCAAAAAGACACTTTTTATATTTGGAAAACCAGGCCAAAATGGTGTACAGTAGCACTGAAGCACATTGGTGTGTGTGAGATTAGAATCATAGAATCATAGAATCATAGAATCTTAGGGGCTGGAAGGGATCTCAAGAGATCATCTAGTCCAACCCCCCTGCCAGAGCAGGGTCACCTAGAGTACATCACACAGGAACTCATCCAGGTGGGTTTTGAATGTCTCCAGTGAGGGAGACTCCACAACCTCCCTGGGCAGTCTGTTCCAGTGCTCTGTCACTCTCACAGTAAAAAAATTTTTTCGGATATTCACCTTGAACTTCCTATGCTCCAATTTACACCCATTACCCCTTGTCCTATCACTGGTCATCACCGAGAAAAGCCTAACTCCGTCCCCCTGACACTCACCCCTTACATATTTGTAAACATTGATGAGGTCACCCCTCAGTCTCCTTTTCTCCAAGCTAAAGAGACCCAGCTCCCTCAGCCTTTCCTCATAAGGGAGATGTTCCATTTCCTTAATCATCTTCGTAGCTCTGCGCTGGACTCTCTCGAGCAGTTCCCTGTCCTTTTTGAACTGAGGGGCCCAGAACCGGACACAATACTCCAGATGTGGCCTCACCAATGCAGAATAGAGGGGGAGGAGAACCTCTCTTGACCTACTAACCACACCCTTTCTAATGCACCCCAGGATGCCATTGGCCTTCTTGGCCACAAGGGCACATTGCTGGCTCATGGTCATCCTCCTGTCTACCAGGACCCCCAGGTCTCTTTCACCTACACTACTCTCCAGCAGTTCAGCCCCCAACCTGTACTGGGACATGGTGTTGTTCTTCCCCAAATGTAAAACTCTGCACTTCCCCTTGTTGAATTTCATCATGTTTCTCCCCGCCCAATTCTCCAACCTATCTAAGTCTCTCTGAATGGCAGCACAGCCTTCTGGTGTGTCAGCCACTCCTCCCAGCTTAGTGTCATCAGCATGTACAGGGCTAAGTTTTTCATTAGTTTTCATCCACTCTGCCCTGAAATGTTCAATAAACCATTACTAATTCTGATTTCCAGGGTTAAAATATTCCAATTGTGTCCCTAAAATGGTGTCCCTAGAAAGTGGCTTTCCTGACTACATAGATTAATTAAGCTTGTACCAGGCTTTTTGCTGTTTCCATCCTCCAGAATCCTTCTTTGGCTACATATACATTACTAAAAAGTGCACCTCAGCAGAAGCTAGTTCTGTGGGCTGGACAGTGCTGATGACCAATATCCACAAGGAGTGCTTTTTATTCTGGGGGTAGATATTCTGGACCATTTCTACACTAGCCTGGAAGATAGAACACTAGTAATGTTGGTCCTGCATTACGTACACCCCCAGGGTATGCACTGTGCCATTTCATCCTGTAAGAATCAAATTTGTACAGTCTGAGACCCCTTTGTGAGGTAAGCAAAAGTTCAGTGGAGATGGACAATTCACTCCAATAAAAGTACACTCTTGACCTGAGCTCAATACAATTTGAAAGGTGCTTCCGTAGTGGTACTGAATGGATCATTACTGGATCACAATCTAAACCATCATCTTTGCAAGTATTTTAATCATACCAGAAAGGATAGAGTTAGGGGGAAGCTAGGGTCACCCTTCCTAGAATGGATGCCTTCTAGAAAACACAGAAAGTATCCTAAGTAGCAACTCTGCGTATTTTCCATTGAAATATAAAACCAATCCATATTTTTTGGGAAAAAAAAGATAATTTAATTTGCTTAATTGTCTTAACTATTTATATTTGCTGTACAAATGACATTATACAAAAAGCATACAAAGTAAAAAGAGCACAACTGCTTTACACTATTGAAAATATTCATATATGTAAAGTCAAAGATCATGTTTGCTTCATTGGAGCTGGAATATTAGCAGATGCTTGTTCTAGGTAAGCTAATGGACCTTGAGACATTTCTGCAGGCTTTTTGTGCTGTACGCTGATATCTTCCAGGACCTGTTGCCAGTGTCGCAGTTTACCCAAATGCTTCTGAATTAATGCTTCCTTTCTCTGCAATTCATTTCTTAATTCTGAAACATCCTATGGATGAAAAAAATGTGTAAACAATCAGTATTAATAATAATCATCTCACATAAAGAGCATGTAATTTTTTTAGCCTGAGTTTTCAAGCTGATCTTATGGTGATTCTAATATTGGAAAAATGTATAATGGAACAGAGGGAAAGCACTAGGTCACTTATTTCAGAGATCATAACTTCCAGCAAAATTTGACTGACTAGTTTGTTCCTTCCAGTGAAAATATGTGTTCTAACAGTCCACAGAGCTGCAGGCATCCAGCTTCTCCAGGTTCCTGGTGCAAGCTATGTTAACAGTCAAGTTCTACCAACTTAAGATACAGCATCATGTCGAGAAACCCAGAATTTATGTGACCAAGGTAATTAACTGTACAGGTACACAGCTTATCTTACCAAGTACAACACAGATAAATTAATTTAAACATACCTCTTTAATTACTTGTTCTGGTTTCTGGACTGAGAGCTGCAGTCTTTTTTGTAGAAAAAAGCATTCAGTTTGTCTTGCAACATCCAGAAACTTCTGGATGCACTGGTCAACACCTAAACATAACAAAATAGGAAGAGGTGATTCCACAAAAGTAGTTATGAGGCGGATACTGGTAGCTGTCAACATGTTATAAAACCACTTTTCACAGAACTTTCTAGAAAGAAAAAATTAAGATTTACTAAAACAACATATGTATAAAACCAAGATGCAAATTAAATGTCTGCATAAATCTCTTTTTCCCAAGTTTTATTACATTTTTGACAATGAAGAGTAGTTCCAAAATAATTTGTGGAACTTGGTTGAATGAACATGTTGCTGCATGCCAAAGCAACAAGCACCACGTAAGGTTCTAAAACACAGGCATATTTAGGAGAATATTCTGCCATAATATATTATGCACTACTGCTTGATAATAAAAGCTTTTCCATTCCAGCATATGAATAAAACCCAATACCACGTAAGGAAATTTCAAAAGTATTTATGCTAGCTTTGGAGAATGCTTGAGAGTCAAGCTTGAAAAATATGCCAGGGAAAAGTACACTTCTAAGCAGTATTCGAGGGGCATTTTTAACTTCCTGTCTATACCAGCCCAGTATTAATGATGCCTCCCACAGAGGTGCCTGTCACACAGGCCTTAGAGCATTGCTACTCATCTAGGCTCTCCTTTCCCAGCTTTTAATTACTGCTTCATCAACATTACCTTCTTAGTTTCAGAACAGTGTATGTCATTGCCCGTTAATATAACCCCACACAACCCCCGGAGCCGGCTGGCACTCGGACCTTTCCCTAAGACCCCGATCATTCCATGTGTGAGGCTCCGAACAGCGTTCCACCTGGGAAGGGGGAGAAACCCCGAGCTGTATCAGAGTCGCCGTTCAGACACCCTGAATTGGTTTTAAAACGCTTCTGGCCTCAAATGACAAGGCACGTGTACCCTTGGCAAAGCTCAAATGCACCTGCAAAACTTCCCAAGTTTTAGGGAAAGTTAACCGTAAATGTGTAACCCCAGCCGTGCCCCTCAGTATCCAGGCCTGCGGAATAAACCCGTGGCGTATGCAGGGCTTTTCTGAAGCCCAGCAGAGCTGCAGCACCTC